CCAAGATACAGGGCAAAGGGAAGTTCAGGGAGGAGTTATAGACCAGAATATCAGTATTTTAATGAACAATTATATCATACAGAAACAAGCACAAACATTTGCTTGACCAGCCACAACATCAGCATAACAGCTACTGCAAAATTATTTACCTCCAACTCTCTTTGCAGAGCACCCAATCCCTGTTCCCTGCATCATCTGTTTTTCTTTTTCTCCTTGTAGAATGATCAAAGACGCGATCTGAGGGAATCGCCGACGCGATTCACAATCTGCTGTGTGCAATGAGTTCTGACTGAATAACACATGGGCGATGACCTACAGCCAATGAGAGACCAAGATACAGGGCAAAGGGAAGTTCAGGGAGGAGTTATAGACCAGAATATCAGTATTTTAATGAACAATTATATCATACAGAAACAAGCACAAACATTTGCTTGACCAGCCACAACATCAGCATAACAGCTACTGCAAAATTATTTACCTCCAACTCTCTTTGCAGAGCACCCAATCCCTGTTCCCTGCATCATCTGTTTTTCTTTTTCTCCTTGTAGCTGGAAATCAGCTCACAGACAATTTGCGGGCTATATATATATATATTTTTTTTTTTAAATAATTACAGTCTTGCTGGAGAACTCCGGTCTGACGCACGCGGGTTCTCACGTTATTTCCTTATCACTTCTCGCGTGTGTTTTGTTGTGAAACCTAGTTTGCGGGCCAGACAGAGCTGTCGGCGATTCTTCCCATTGTGAAGTCATGCAGTGTGAAACCCCCTGTCGCCGATCCATCGTGCAATGTGAACACAGCAGCAACTGAATGCCACCCCAGATAGTCACGCAGTGTGAAAACAACGGCGATCCGACGACTTTGAAAATCGTGCAGTGTGAAAACTCTGCATTATTTTTGATGCGCAACCGAACCGTGTAACGTTATGTGCGCTCTCGGAGAACTGATCACTAAAACATGTTTCTGCTTGAACACAGTTCAGTAGTATATTCACGTATTTGTCAAAATTAATGTACAGCGAGTGTTTTATAATGGATGCTCACCAAAGAGGCGTGTTTTGGAGAAATTTGTGAGGATCAGAGGTGTTGATGTAGCCTACATATGAGCTCCAAACACATACACAATCGCTTGTTCTGACTTTTTAATCACTGTTCACTAATAACGTCGAGCCGCCTTCAGATCGCTGAGTCTCCACATATGCAGAATGCAAAATACATTTTTCATTTGTATTTTGGTGTGTTTAGTGATTCTGAATAGGGCCGTATAGTGGTTTATATGCAGTCCTTTGGCACGTCCCTGTGGTCTTGTTTGGTACGGCAGGTTGACTTGTGCTTATTTGTTAAAGTTACTTTATAATTGACCTTTAGGTACTTTTAAGTACTTTTAAGTTGTAATGAATGCCTGCAGTGACATTTTTGCAAAGTGACTCTTGTAAACTCAAAATTAAATTAAATTTAATTTAAAATATATAAAATATATTTTATTACAAAATAAAATAAAATTCTTGTTTTTTGCGTCACTCTTACCATGTTAAGTGCCAGTGTGCCTCTCATGTTGTTGGGTGTAACTCCATAAAGGGCCGCGGCTCCTGCCATGGCCCCCAGGCACTGAGCGCAGATGTAGAAGAAAGCTCGGAAAAAGGACATCTGAGAGCCGACTAAGTAGGCGAAGGTGACGGCTGGGTTGATGTGTCCTCCGCTGATGTGGCCGATGGATTGGATGAGAGTGGCAGCAGCAAAAACGAAGCAGAGGGACCGCCCGCCAGAACATCATAGAGCGGAACTCCCACATCGTGATTTATGAGATCCAGCTAAAATAAAAAACCGAAGCTTATTTAGAGTTAGCAAAAGTGGCTAAAGGAAGTGTCTTTGAGGAAAAAAATAAAAGTGTCCTTTTTAGCAAGTACACAAAAAGTTAAATCCTTAACAAGTTGATCTGAAGCTGCCGCAAAAAAACAAAACAATCGAGGGCGAAAAGAGTGATGAAAGTCCGCCTAATGGAACTAGCTGTTAGCTAAGGCCGTGTGGGAAGCCGCGAGTAAATGGTCACACATGTAGCCGCACTCAGGTCGTCTCTGCCAGCGTTGTTTCTCTTCGCCTGCACAACACCCAGACTGCTAAAGAAACATGAGGTGTGTGTGGTTGTGTGTGTACACGCGCAGAAGATTTGGAGGGTTTTGTCAGAGAGACCTGAACATCGATGCTAAAGGCTAAATCTACAGGGCTAATTCTATATGAGCGACACAGAAGAGGTTATGGAGCATATCCTGCCCACACCTAGTAGAGCTGGTCTGACGGACCACAAAGGGGCCATAGGGGGCATTTATAATGGCCTCGGGGCCCAGCGTGACGACATAATCCCCCCCGAGAGGCAGAAGCTAAAGGGGGCATCCCATATCAAGCACACGCCACTCACTTCTCTCTGCATTAAACTCATAGAGAGTGAGATTAAGACAGGAACACCAGGGCTCAAAGTGAAGGGGACGTATATCTTTGATGCCTATAGTGGCCTAAAGTACAAAACAGATCCACCAATCAGATTTTAGTGAGGTCATGAAATGTCTCATTAAAATTTGCTTTCGAAACGCTTATAAAAATCAGGAAAGTTGTGGATTTTTATCAGAACTTCATGTGGATTTAGGTTTGATGGGCGAGTTAGTGCTGACCTGAACTCACACACAGGCAGAACACACACACAACGCGCATCCTCAGAATAATGCCACGCATCTGCACACACACAATGTGCGTCCGATCCGGCGGCTCAAGAGAGGCCCTGCGCTGGCAGATATGATCCAGCAGTGCTCAGATACACGCAGAGAAATCCCTGAGCACAGGAAAGACATTGCTGCTCAGAGCATGAAGCTAACATGAGAAAACATCCTCTAGCTGTTTCGTGGGTTTGAGCTGCTATCTATCTATCTATCTATCTATCGTTCTATCTATCGATCTATCTATCTATCGTTCTATCTATCGATCTATCTATCTATCGTTCTATCTATCGATCTATCTATCTATCGTTCTATCTATCGATCTATCTATCTATCGTTCTATCTATCGATCTATCTATCTATCTATCGAGCTATCTATCTATCTATCGTTCTAACTATTTATCTATCGAGCTATCTATCGTTCTAACTATCTATCTATCGAGCTATCGTTCTATCTATCTATCTATCGAGCAATCGTTCTATCTATCTATCTATCTATCTATCGTTCTATCTATCAATCAATCTATCTATCTATCTATCATTCTATCTACTGTTATACCGGTCTTTTTTTGGATATAAAAAACTGTAAACATGATGGTGTAGATGTTTTTTTTTCTTGAAAGAAATCAGTGCAGTGTGGTTTATGGATATGTTGTTGAATGCTGTTGGTGGTTCTGGTTTGTTCAGGGCAGAAGTGATTAGGCAGAGGTTTGTATTGTGTGTGGAGCAGGTCGGTTGTGGAGGGCCGGGGTGGCCTCATAGCCAGATAAAGCCTGGAAAATCCCTCTGTTAGAGGAGCTGATGGTGAATTAGGATCGCTGATCTCATCTGTTTTCCTCCCTCACTTACACACACACTCACACTCATACACATGTATGCTGAACAAAACAAAATGCTGGCTGGCACTGTGTGGATGTTCTTCATTGTTTAAGTGCATGTGTGTGTTATTAATAGCTGCTATGTATGATTTCTGCATGTATATTCTAGCATGAATGTGCAACACAGCTATGTCCATATGTAAACTTGAATATGTGTGTGCAAATTTATATGCATAAAAGGGGTGATATGGGAATATTGGCACTGAACATTGTGCATTAGCATGTTCAACATGCTTTCTGTAAGAACACAGAAACAAAACTATTGAATATTAAAGTTTATTAAATTCTGCCACAATTACAAAGTGAAATGTGGATGTGAAGCAGCTGTGCTTTTTATTCCTATTTTATATAATTTACAGAAGAATATAGTTTGATATGATTTAAGTAAGAGTTTAAGAATTCCATTATTCATAAATATGAAAGTCAAACTAAATTAAAGTAAATCTTGTACATCTGCCAAAAAGAAAAAAAAAACTGTTATATTTCTTGTTATAAATAATTTAACAAAAGATATAATGACACTATCAACAAACACACTGACATATGCACTTTAAATGTTGTTAAACACTTTCAGCTATAGCCATAAAAATCACATTTAAGCTGAAATCCGGCAGCTATTTGGTTAACAGTGGATTTAGGAAAAATAACAATACTATTGAACCATAATAGCAAGCTCAAGCCACATAGGCTTATGTTTGGCACTTTAATATTTATGCATGTGCAAGCTGAGGGTTTTTACACACTGTGTTAATTACATAGACAGCTTAAACATTATAGTACTGCTTCCGATCCACAACAGAACATTCTAGTACGAAAATATTTGTATAGAAT